CTCTAGTCCGGCCAGAAAAGTTCGGTGCTCTTCTTCAGTCCATGGAACACCTGAACGAAGAAAAGAAAATTTCACAGTATATATATATATATATATATATGTTAAGCGCTCGATCCATTCCCAGAATTAAGAACCATGATTGCGTTTTCAAGACAGAAACTTTGAATTATTTGAGAAGCTCCGTTGCAGTTGCTGTGTAAAGGATCAAACAGACAACAAATCGAACAAAGAAATTCATGCAAAATATAGGAATTTTTCATGCTTAAAAAGTTCATAGGAGTGAATCATACTATCACGGTATCACCTCAACAAATTAGGAAGCGTATATTCTCATAAACCATTAGCGAAATCGGTTTCGTTATCTCAAAACCAACAATTCAAATAAACTAGAACGAATCAACCAATACCTGATTTATATATCTACCTACCTGAAAATTTCAATTGATTGTGTATGTTTGTTTCTTCGAAAAATGAACGTAGTTAAGTTTATTAGACTGAAAAGAGGCAGCTATTATTTCCAGGTAAAAAACTTTGTTTCTGCTCCTCTTCTAAGCTGTTTTCATATAAATCTCAAGGAAAACAAAGTTCTCATGGTGAAAATAGAGCTCAAATATTTCAGACTGAAAAATTTTCAGTCCCTTCTATTGAGAAACAAACACAGCCCCAAAACCCATACATACTCATATAAAGAACCATTCTACCCATGATCAACCTCAGACCAACATATAATAAACAATACCAATAATCCAAAATCAACAAAATAGAAAACCATAGCTTAGAACAAAACTATAACTCGTCCAAGTAACAAGCATCATGAATTAAAAGAAAACAAAACCATAAGAAGATATCAGATTATTGAAACAGAGAAGCATCAGTAAACAGAAAACCAATAAACGAAAAAAAAAAAAAAATACAAAGACATTCACGTCGACCCATCAGGAGAAAAACATAGGAAAAGGTAGATATTATTTCATGCAATTGCACTAAAGACAGAACTGCAAGAATAAGCGACCAATTACCCTTCTTCCTCTCTCTCCTCGCTAGAACAGGGCTGTCGGAGAGATAACCAGGGTCGCCGGTGTTATGTTCAGCCGTGCATGATGGCAAGTTTCCTGTACTGAAACTCTTCTTCATTATCGGTTGTTTGGAAATTCTTACGCCGAACAACTTTAGTCCTAACTTATCACTGCATGTTCCAGAATCGTGACCATTTTTGCCGCAGAGCGAACACTTCCTCACGGTTTCCTTTGCCATACCCTACTCGAAATTTTCTCCTATGTACCTCTTTAACCTTGGTTCTCCCTCTTTCTGTTTCATGCTAATTAAATAGGTAAAAAGGACAAACTCAGAGCAGAACTATCCGATTCTCCAACAAGCGTTTTAAGGTTCTAATTACAATATCATTTTAATTGTTTTTTCTCTTTGTTTTTATAATTAATTTGAAAACTGATTTATCAGTTCGCATTGAATGGAAACCCAAATTTAATTATGTTGTATTCTACTTACAATTTTTGATAAGTTAGAATTATAAATTGTAATTGGTTAAGGAGCTGGTAATTCTGATAAGTTGGAAATTTTATATTTGGGCGATTTATTTCTACAAAAATAGTTAAAGTTATTTTTGGAATAGTGGATTATTCCTAAAAATTAAGTCAAAGTATAATTTGTCAATTTTTTTTTTTTTGCAAAATCAAACGATTCTAAAAATAAGCAAAATTTTGTTAATAATTAAATCATTTATTTATTTGTTTTTTTTTTAACTTTAATAGCCTAGCCTTTTCTTAACTTTGCCAGTGTGGATTTGTCTTATACTAGTAATCCCAAGCCCGAATAAAAGAAGAGTATAATAGACTTATGTATCAGCACTTAAGTGTTAATATAAATCAGTGCTCCAAATAAAATAATCTCAACAAAATCTTAGAAACTGAAAATATAGGAGGAATCGATATACTTATTTCTCAATTAATTTATGTAATTGTCATAATGCTCTATATAAATTTTGAAATTTTATGGATGAGAATACAAAGTTGCAAAAAGGGAGTTTCTTTTCCTTTTCATTCTTTTGATATTGAAAAACCTTGATAATGAAAATGGAATTTGGGAGTTGAAAATATGAAACTAAGGCTTTATTGGGCATTCTAAGGACTTATCATCTCATTTTTGCTGTTAAAATGTCTCTATAAACACTGATTTTTTAATTTTAAAAAAGGAGACAAGTCCTTAAAATAAGCCAAATGCAGCCTAAGAAAATAATAAAATGGATTTATTTATTAATCGGATTAATGACATTTTGTACATGAATAACAATTCTGCTTTGTATCTTGACCAAAATTGATAGACATTGTCAAGCTATTAACGTAATTAATTTAGACTGTTACATGTCAGAGTAAATCTAATATATGTTGGAGTACACCTAATGACCTAATGAGCAATAAAAGAACTGAATTTTTAAAATGTCCACCAATAAGTTAAAACATACTTTGTATATGTTATAGTGTTATTCATCAAGAAAAAAGAAAAGAAAAGAATAGTTTGAATTGTAATTTCTCTTTATTAAATTGGACAAAATTGAACACTATTGACCTCATTAGGCTGAGTTTGAAAGGAATACAAATGCAAATATGTAGAGTGCAAATTGCAAAACCTTATATTTTGTATTATTTTGTATGCATTTTCACTGTACATATTTGCATTTGTACTCTTCCCAAAGTGAACATTAATGACAATTCTGTTTTTTTTTTTCCTGGTTTATTAGGGTTTACTTTTGGTTTAATGAAGCTGTTAGGTTTCATTTATCTTTAAGTGTTATTTGCATTTGCAACTTGTCATTTATCTGTAATTGTTGGCATTTGCACTATATCTTGGTGAATTCAATGCTTAACGAATTAACAATGTTGCCTCAACTCCAGAAATGGACACCTTTGTATAGAAAAAATGTATGGTCGCATGCTTGAGTCTTTTAATGGATATAATGAAGGTGGAATTTTATTTATCCTTTTCAGTTAATTCCGGGAGCTTGTGTATTTTGAAACGCCAAGGTTGAGTTAAATTAGATTGGATTACGGTTTGGATTTCATAGAGGAAATGGCATCGTACTGTCAAGTGTTAATTCTATGAATTACTTTAGTGTGAATTAATGTTTGTACACCCTAAGTATTCTTAGCCCCATTATACATTTGGGATAGGTGTCAACTCAGAATTGATGCTAATTTATAGATGGGTATTGGTGTTTTAGGGTGGAGGTATTTGTCATTTTGAATTGGGTTGAGTTAAGTGAAGTTCAAAATTCTGAAGTTGGTTGCAATGTACTTTTTCAATTACTTTATTCATAGGGTAGGATTCACACAAAACAAAAGTTGTATATAAAATAACATATGGGGGGAGTAATCATCCAAATTCCATAGAATAGAGGTGGTAATGGAATTAGAAACCAAATAAATTCATGACATATAGAATAGGTGACCTAAGTATACATTTTGGTTTTTGGGGTGGTAAAGAAAATATTTCAAAAACCGAACCAAACATCGATCATTAGAATTGGCACCTTAGGCCATGTTTGGTTCAAATTTCATTCTTTTTCATTTTTATTAAAGATGAAATTTTAAAATGGATAAGAATTGATGAAAAAATAATGCTATGAACCAAAAACTTTTTCTTAAAAATGAATTCTTTTCAGACTGACAAGTGTCCTATGTTATTAATTTTCATTCTTAAAAAAAAAAATTATATTGGTAATCATAAACAGCCAGCCTAGGTCTCCAAAATTGTTGGCGTAGATGTTTACCGGTGGATTGTTGGTAGTCATGTCTGCTGAGGGGAGTTTTCATAGTAAACATTTATGGCGGCAATTATGTAGGCATAGAGTTTCTTCAAAGAATGAAAATGAGCAACATGGGACATGATTATTTTTCATGATGGCTACCTCAAATTTTGTACTATGGGCTGATTTTTTTAGAATGTGGCCCATAATAAGAATTTTGTAACCAAACTCTCTAATGTTGTTCATTATTTATTCTTTCCCATTATTGCTCATAAGGGACAAAATATTAAAAGAATGAGGCCCAGATTAGTGAATCAAACATGACTTTAGGGTCCGCAATTGAGTCACTGTTTCTGAACAATCCAAAATTGGAAATAAAAGAACGAAAAGGTTGAGATAATGAAAGAGAAAAGTAAGTAAATAAATATTAAAATAAACCCTCAAAATAAATCTTATGTTTTTTTTTGAAAATTTGAAGTGCTTCTTTTTCTTTATATAGAAATTAGATGAATTCAATGGGATCGACTTTTGCGGGTTCAAAACTTAAAATGGTCCAAGTCTTTTGCAATTAACAAAAAGTTAATGCTAATGTTCAAATACAAGCTCAGGACTTGTTTTAGGTTGGAACTCATCCAAATCAAAATCAATATTTGGGCAGATTGGATGGACCAATAATACATATTAAATTGGTCCGGTTCAGACTTAGTGGTCCAAAGTATTTATTGGATTGAATTGGACATGTTCCATCTATTATCAATTTATATTGGATTAGGTGAGATTGAACCAATATGGGGTCCACTGATAGAAGATAAGAATACAGGTGCCAATAGATTAAGATTGGGTTGGAACCAATCTGAACAGATTGGATAGTACAGACATTGAATTGGACTGATCCAAAATGGTCAAAGAAGTATTCATCAGATTGGATTGGACCTGGTATGGATTCATGTTGAACTGTATCGGATAGGATTGGACCACATCTGGTCCAATTGACATCCCTAGTTACATGAATCCATTTTTTAGTAATGGAACCCTCAAATTCTTACAAATAATGATGTTTGACCCTAAAGGAGAATTGTATTAGACAATATTGGGCTATCTCATCCGGCTCCGGCATGCATCTTGAATTTATAAAGAGTCAAAGACTGAGGAGACTAACTACATGGTTGACTTTCTAACAAAATTGACCTTCTGATCAGCTTGAATAGATCGAGTCAATAATTTGTAATTGGAAAAGTGATTAGATCAAAATATACGAAAGGCTCTGTTAATAGACCAAATCCTCGATCATCCTCCCAGAACTGATTAAGAAGAAATTACAGAATGAAAACAATGTATTTATTTTAAATTTTATTAACACACAGAGTTGCAGTAGTTGGAGCTACTACGATGGACTCGGTAAACAGCTTGGAATTGGAACTACTGCTTGCTTTTCTACGTTCAGGGTCAGGGCCTTGGCCTTGCTTGTGTACAATTTTTTCACATTAGACCCTTGTTCATGTAGCAACCTCGCAAGACTTCTCTTGGCGTTTGCTCTGAATGGACAATTGGATGCCAAGAACCCATCCACCAAATGCAGATAAGCCTCCAGGTCATGACAACATGCCACATCAGCGTTGGGCTTCAGATATGGCGACATCTTGCTGTCCACTCTGAGCTCCGTCCCTACGTGAGAATACGACAGCGGCATGTTGTCCAGCACATCCACCATCCGTTCCATGTTCGTTCCCTTCAGCTTCTGGTCTAGCCCCTCGCCCACCGGCATCCCTGGGACCTTGGTGATCACGTCTTGTGAGTTCACGACGCGCAGAACCTTTACGCCTCGCTTGCTCATCCGATTGCCGAAGCTCCGGTTGCCCACGCGCGGCCCTCCGAAGGAGAAGACCGCTATCGGTGGCATGTCTGGGGCGCATGTGCTCAGCTCGTCTGCCGCTAGCAACGCCAGGGCCGCGCCTAGGCTGTGACCCGTCACCGTGATGCTCAGGGTCTCACCCTTGTAGAGCTCCATCAACCTGCGTATCTCTTCCTTTATGGAATCGGCTAGGCTTGACGCATGGGGCCCTTGGGTGCTGTATAAGCTCCAGAATCCTTGCTCCACCTTGGGCGGGCGCTGGCTGCTCGATTCCTCCTCCTCTCCGGGGAGCTGGATCAATAGGCCCCGGACGTTCTCTACCCACTCTAGGCATGTGGCGGTTCCACGCAGAGCGATGACTATATCCCTCCTCCCCATCCTTGAGATTTCTCTCTTGTCGTCGCAAACCGCGACGTACCCGATCCAGCTGGTCCGCTGAGTCATCCACCCCATGTCCGGCGCCACAGTGTCTACCCACTCCGGCAGCCCTACCGATGATGTGGCGTAGAGGCTCTTGGTCACCCTGTATGACCTGTCCGGTAATGCCACGTGCCGAGGCTTGGAAAATTCGTCTTCCGACGTGGCAGGATTTGAGTGAAACCCGTGATACGACGCCTGAACAAACTCGCCGTATCTGACGACCTCGCGCCGGAGATTCTCGTCGAGCGGATCCAGGAGGCCGGCCCAATTTTTGCTGCCGTGGTACTCACGCCACCGTGTCCCTAGATTATTTCTCGGTGAGTATTCCTGCGTTTTCGAGAGGAGTCTCTTTAGACGGTTCAGATGTCTCGGCGACATCTCTTCTGCTGCCCTAGACTCCGGCCATATCCTCGCCAAGTTGAGGCCTTCCAGGAGACGCCTTCCCATGTTTTCAGGAGACCCATTGCCGGAATGCTTGTGGAGGATTTCCTGGTCGGCCAGTGGTGGAGGATCATGCTTTTGAAGCAGCTTATCTAAGTTGGCAAGGTGGATTCGTGTCGACTCGGCGGAATTGTAATGGCCGATCCTTGTATCATTCGATGTTACTGGATATGGCGTCTGAACCGCCCAGGCCGAAGTCCTTGTAGAAGGGTTCAAACGCGACCCGCGAGAGGCAAAGTTGGTACGTCTCGCCGGAAAAACGACGGGGTCGTGAACGGCAAGTTGAACTAATCCGATCTGCATATATAAATTAGAGACAGAGAAAGAGAACAAAGGAGCCAAACAGCAGCTGAGAGGCAGAATGATCCCTTCAATCGCCTGTTATAGTAGATCGAGAGTTGAACAACATCCAACAGGTGGGGGTTGCACAGAGGCGTTATTGTATATATAGGGAGTTGGTCGAGAGAGAACTGAGAACGAAAGAGGAATGGACGCGGTCGTTGACGACTAACCCCTCTTTTAATATTTATGGTCTAAACACTAAACATCCCTCGGATTCATCAGACGCGCACGCTTTGAGGCGCTGAACTGACGGCGACGGATGAAGAGATTGGGCCCCGCTCCGCCAGAGAAAGTGGGCCATATGACGGCAGTTGGCAAATCCATAATATCCAATGGTCAGAAATAATTTTATCGTATAGTGGGGTGTGACAACATTGCCAAGTGGATAATTCCCAGATAGTGCGCATTCTGTATGTACGTTGTAGTCGTAGACCTTCCTACGTTTTTGTTTTGATAGGATTAAGGATAGGAACGACCGTTGATTTAGTTGTTATAACTAAATCGAAGGAGAGAGGCACTTTCAAAAAAGAAAAAACACACTAGGACAAAAACCGAGTTGTTAACTTGTTATCAACAGCAAGCTGCAAGCCACAAGTCTAAAGTTGAACTGTTACCAGAGTTTGAACGACGGTCCGGTGCTTAGAAGCCGACGTACGGATGACCTTAAGTTTGGCGGCGTTCGGTAAGTCTGAAGTTCAGAGTCTGAAAAGCAATTCGAAGAAAATTTGCTTTTACTTTTACAGATATCTGAATGTAAAGTAGTTATTCGGCAATCCGATTGCTTTAACATCTGAAAAATATACATTTTATAAATTTACTCCTCAAATTGTTACATAGGCTTTGTTTGGTTGCAGTGTAATTTTATTTGCACTAGTACAAATGCATAGGAATGTAAATGCATAAAATGCAAGTTCTCATTTAATATTAATAAATCTAATTACCAAAAAAGTAGAAATTTTAAACCCAAAAGTATGCGGCTTTGGGTTTCCCGTACTCATAACCTCCAAAGCCTGGTGGCAATGGTATTTCATCTAGGATTGGCAATGGGGGCGGGTTTGAGGTAGGGATCATATTCTCAGTCCCTGCCCCCGATTCTGAAATTAATCCCATTCCTGTCCCTGATTCTCGTTGGTGATAAAATTTGTCCTTCATCCCCATAGCCCGATGGGGATGGGTTCCCCATACGGACCCAAATCCCCAAAATTGTTTAGATAATAGTATTTTTTGAAAAATAAATTTACTTAAAATAAATAAAAAATTTAAATTATAAATAATGTTTTAAATATATTTTAATATATATAAATATATAATCGGAGTCGGGGTAGGGCGGGGACCTTAATTCCCATCCCTGACTCCAACTCCAATGGGGGATATTCCTATTAATCCCCATTCCCGCCCCAACAAAATAATCCCCATCCCGACCCCATTGGGTTGGGGAAGTCGGGTCCCGTCGGAGATGGGAAAAATTGTCATCCCTAATTCCATCCCGTCTCTGCTGCAACTAGCGAGAGAATATCAACTCAGTTACCATAAGTTGATTTTTAACTCTTTGTGTAAAGAGAAGAAATATAGTTTTTACTTTGTGTAAAGAGTCAATTATTACCGAAAAAACATTTTTGCTTTTTTTATTTCAAATTTTACTTTATTTTGTTATAGATTTTATTTTTCTTCATCTGAATTGTAAATAAACAAAATACAGTACAGATATTTGAAAAAAAAAATCACAACTTGCATTTGAACTTTTTTTTTGCACTCATTCATTTGCGCCAGTGCAAATGACATTGCACCTCGAACAAATCAGGACTAAACTGCATTTAGGGCTGTAATGGCTTGGGTAAACCCAACAGAACCGATTACGTTGGTTCTGGTTTTGTGGTCTTTTATCCAAATTAAAAATTGAGACGGGACCGGTTCTTCCTACTCCAAACCGATTCAGGCCCGAAGTGACTATATAGTTAAAAATACGTTATTTTGGTTGAAACACAGTTTATTRTTTCATGTCATTTTTATTAAGATTATATTATTAAAAATAAAATTAAATCTATTATTATCATATCTAATTAGATAATTTTGATAATTAAATCTAGGTATAAAGGCCGACAAAATTAGATAATTTTGATTAAAAACACGTTTTTTTTGGTTGAAACACAGTTTATTATTTTGTCATTTTCATTAAGATTATATTATTAAAAATAAAATTAAATCTATTGTTATCATATCTAATTAGATAATTTTGATAATTAAATCTAGGTATAAAGGCCGACAAAATTATATAATTTTTATTAAAAACACGTTTTTTTGGTTGAAACACAGTTTATTATTTTATGTCATTTTCATTAAGATTATATTATTAAAAATAAAATTAAATCTATTATTATCATATCTAATCATTTAATCTAGGTATAATCGGGTCAGACCCCATTGTCCTTATTAATCGTTTCGGGACAGTACCCTACCGCATCCTTTTCAATGGTTAATTTGAACTAATAAGAATAATTAAGGGTCCGTTTGGTTTGTAATTGGAATTGAAATGGTCCATTCTTATAGTCTGTTTGGTTCAGACAGGAATGGAAATGAGAATTAAAATCAGCAGGAATGGAGTTTCATTCTTAAGGGAGGGATAGGGAATGTCCATTCCCTAAAATGGGAGAATGCCATTCCAGCAGGAATGGGAATGGGATTCTGGTTCTGCCCAACCAAACAGTTGGAATTGGAATAACCCATTTTGATTCCGATTTCAGACCCCTATTCCTATGAACCAAACAGAGCCTAAGAAACACATTAGTGATGCAAGCAGAGTCTCATCAAATAACATAGGGAAATCCTAAGGAAAAAAATAATTTCTTTAACTATGGGGAGAAGGAATTTACCATATTCACTAGTTTCAATTTTAAAATCGAACTGGACAATGAATCATTCAGGGGTCTAGTTTCTGGGTTGAATGGTCTGATCGTTTGAACTAAATGGATGGCCTATTTTAGAAAAAATAAAAAATAAAAAACGACAAAAAATCGTTAGATGGTTTGAACAGTTTGAACGATTCAATCACCTAGGTCAACAGTTTATTGACCAAGGGGCCTGATTGGTGTGTCTTTTCGGAAAGATTTTCTAGTAGTTCTGACATGCAAAAGATTCATTGAGCTTTTGCATGGAGATCTGAGAAGCCCGAAGCATATTTGGCAGATGCACATATTTCCATGTCTTTCCGCACAAGAATAAAACGCAAAATACATGGGGAACTTCCTTTGAAGCTTCCTGAAATCAGCCCAAAAAGGGCTTCTCGCATTTTTTTGACGCTCTATCTTTTGATGATTAGATCTTCCATGAACCAAATGGGAACAGACCGAACGAATCCCAAATCAACGATTTTTGACCAAAAGGCGGTTCTAAGATAAAACGGACCGGTTCCCGTTTTCCGATCCGATTTTGAAAACATCGCTAGTTTGTGAACTTTGTTTTACGCGGTTGGTATGTGAGACAAGTCATTGAAGTATTTGACTTCGTGAACCATTGAGGCGCCGCTGAACATCGCGAGTGGACTACTTTAATACTAATGCATCCATGATTGATTATTACGAATCACTGGGGGACTCATCGACGAAGCAGGAGCACGTGAGACCCACTGATTATAATACGAAGAGGCTTGATCCAGTGTATCTTTTAGAACTGTGAACTAGAAGTGGGAGCCAGTAAAGCCAAGAATTTATAAACCTAAGGCTGTGTTTGGTTGCAATGGACATTTATTTGTGTTGATACAAATTCATGGGAGCATAAGTGTAAAAAATGCAAATTCTTGTTTAATTTTGCTTTATGTTTTAATTTATTTCATTTGTGCTGCAACCAAGCAAAATAAGTTAAAATTTAAAACAAAAATAAGTCAGGATTTATACTCAAATCATTTGCATTGCCATGATTTTGCATCAGTGCAAATTTATTTATATTGCAACCAAATACAGCCTAAGGCTCAGTAATAAATACAAATATGTAGAGCATAAGACCTTATATATTTTGTATTATTTTATATAGATTTGTATTATACATATTTGTATTTGTACTCCTTCCAAACTGAGTCAATTTTATATGTATTTGTTTTYTATTAGTATTCCTTCTTTTTAAAAGAAATATTAGAGTACAAAACTTTCTGATTTGTATTATTTTATATGTATTTATACTGTACATATTTACAAGAATACTACTTCCAATCTGAGCGACCGTGGATCAATGGTGAAAACAGAAATCAGGTTTAATGGTTGCCTTCCATGTCGTCCCTGTCTTCTCCCTGATGAGAGTAGTGAAGGCAACAAGACGAGATGAGGTACAATATAATTGGTGAATATATTTGGGCTGTTTAACATGGTTGGTTTTATTTTAACATGGTACGTAACCCTTCCCAAACAATCACAACGGAAAATATAGTCATCATAAGATACATTATATGTAACGGGTTATGTAATTAATTATTACTAACACACTAATGTTCTTTAAACATGGGACCTGATGTTGTGCATCTGACTGTTTCCAGTTGGAGGATGATTTGGCTTCAAGTCGGATGGTAAGCTAAGCAAATCTCCAAAATAAAACGAGAACCCGAGGTGGCTAGCCCGATGAGGTCGCTCCGATGCTTAAGTTAGTAAGCTGTTGCGAGATGAAATAGCTTAGAATGTAGAGAGCAGAGAAATCACACATACCTTTAGCTATCGGGGTTGGAGCCTTTATATAGTTGAGTCATCGCGGGTTTTGTGGATCGGTTTTGGGATCTTCGTCACGATGGGATCCGTTTCTGCTTTAATTGAGGGATAACGTTATCAACTGATAAGGCTTATCAATTCCGCATGAACCGGGTAGCTTTAGTTTTGACAGTCTTTTAGATGGGAGTGGTGGATCCGCTGGGGCCGAGGTGGGTACCTCGGCTCAGGTCGTAGATCGCCATACCGAAGTGGAAAGCGACAACGAGCTGCTTGGTGACGTTGAGGAGACCAGTGCTGATGAGTGTATGGACCCTCTTACTGAAGCCTCGGACAAGGGCGGGGAGCACCGAGATGAATAGAGACTTCTTTTTATCTCCTATATTGTATACCCCAGGTCTCTGAGCTCGGTTTATAGTGAATTTCTTCTTTCTTCCTCTTGTACTCGAAGTTWGATATCAATGAAATAC